CCACCTCCCAAGTAGCTGGGATTATAGGTGCCCGCCACAAACGCCTATTTTTTGGTTGCAGCCGTTGTTGTTTGGTGGGCCCGGGCTGGATTCAAACCCGCCAGCTCAGGTGTACGTGGCTGGTGCCTTAGCTGCTTGAGTCATAGGTGCCGAGCCACTCAGGCTGCTTTTGAACTCCCAGGCTAAAGTGATTCTCCTACCTGGGCCTCCTAAGGCAATAGCCATGAATGTCGTATAACATTGCATTTATGAAGACAAATATGAGGTAGGTTTTTTTCCTTTATGTTTATTAATTTATTTTATTTTTAGAAACGCGATCTTGCTTTGTTGCCCAGGGTATTCACAAACTCCCATGACTCAACTGATTGTCCTGCCTCAGCCTCCTGAGTAGCTAGGATACAGGTAAGTAAAATACGAAAATGAACAAGCACATAAAGCAATGAAATTTCTAGTTAGTGGAGTTGAATCCATATGGATAACCTATACCACTTAAGTTTTTATTATATAGACCAACACATATTTAAGTTTTTTTGGTTTTTTTTTTTTTTTTGAGACAGAGCCTCAAGCTGTCACCCTGGGTAGAGTGCCATGGTATCACAGCTCACAGCAACCTCCAACTCCTGGGCTCAAGCCAGTCTCCTGCCTCTGCCTCCCAAGTAGCTAGGCTACAGGCGCTGGCCATAACACCTGGCTATTTATTTTTCTTTTTTGTAGTCATTGTTTGGCAGGCCTGGACTGGATTTGAACCCGCCAGCCCCGGTGTATGTGGCTGGTGCCTTAGCCGCTTGAGCTACAGGCGCTGAGCCCATATTTAAGTTTATAGGTAATATCTCACAATGGGAAATAAGAAAGTTGGTAAATGAGGGTAATTTTCTCAATACCTTTATAGAGTACTTATTTAGCTTAATTCTCTAATATTTAAAATAAGCTTAAAATATCCCTAAAGGGTAGCACCTGTGGCTCAAAGGAGTAGGGCACCGGCCCCATATGCCGGAGGTGGTGGGTTCAAACCCAGCCCTGGTCAAAAACTGCAAAAAAAAAAAAAAAAAAAA